GCGCTGGAAGGGATCATGCTCAGTGAAATAAGCCAAAAAGAAAAAGATAAATACTGGATGGGCTCACTCATAGCAGGAATCTAGAAAACTTAAATAAGGGACCAGGAAAATGAGTAACTATAAGAAAGTGAAAATCAAAATCAATAAAAAACTATGAACCAGAGACACTTTTTGGGGGGTGGGGGTGGGGGGGGAGGGACTGGGGTCAGAATGGGGGGGTTGCAATTGTATGGGGAATATAAAAATAAAATTTATTAAATAAAAAAAACATACTAGTAGAAATCTTTGTCATTCTGGAAAAATTATCTAACTGTTACTAACATTCATTTTTGTTGGTGAGGATGTGAAAAAAAGGAACTATCCCACACTGCTGGTGGGAGTGCAAACTGGTCCAACCACTATGGAAAGCTGTGTGGAGATTCCTCAACCTGCTAAAGATGGAGCTTCCATATAATCCAGCAATTCCACTCCTAGGTATTTACCCAAAGAACACAGAAACATTAATTCCAAATGGTACCTGCACCCCTATGTTTATAGCAGCACTATTTACAACAGCTAAGCTATGGAAACAACCCAAATGCCCAAAAATAGATGACTGGATCAAGAAGATGTGGTACATATACACAATGGAATATTACTCAGCAATCAAAAGAGATACACTCATGCAATTTGCAGCACCGTGGATGGAGCTGGAAGGGATCATGCTCAGCAAAGAAAAAGACAAATACCAGATGGTCTCACTCATAGCAGGAATTTAGAAAACCCAAATAAAGGACTAGGAAAAAGTCTAATTATAATAAAGTAAAAATCAAAATCAACAAGCAACTATAAACCAGAGACACAGTAGTGGGAGGGGAGGAAGGGTTAGGATCAAAATGGGGGGGAGGGGAATTGTATGGGGACTATAACCAAGATGAAATTGCATGCATTGTGCAAAAATGAAAAATGATGTAAAAAAATAATAAAATTTAAAAAATAAGTAAAAATAAAAATATTACTAATATTTATTTTAATAGTTTATCTAAAAAGAACCATAGGCAAGGTATGTACTGATAAAGTTTACCTTGGCCCATTGCTTGCACGTGCTTTATAAAAGAAATTATGTTAACTTTAAGCAAATATAATTGTAATACTATATTTTTCCCTAGTTCAGAACTCTGGGGGGACAGGGGAGGAACTGGCCATTCCTCTGTCTTAGATGCAGCCATCTTTGCCTTCACACTCCACACTGAGGGGCTTGTGGTGCACTGAGGCCCCAGACCCCAAAGCAAATGAAGGAGGCTGGCCTCAGCCTGGAAGCAAGGCAGAGGCAGGAGAAGGGCAGGGATTGCTTTCTCTGTGGCCAGGACCCACCCCCAGTGTCCTACAAAGGGCCTGAATATTTTTTCTAAATGTTGTGCCTACTTTAAAGTCTCTTTTTAGATGTCTCAAAGGTGGCTTAAACTCGACATGTGTGTATCATCATCCATGACATTCTTTTCCAAACCCAGAAACACCCCCCTGTGTTTCCTGTCAGTGACCCTATACCTCTAACCACATCTCAGCAACCATCTTCTGTGCTCTGTTTCAGCTATAATGGCCTGCCTGCCAGTAATGGTTGTGCTCTTACATGAAATTTCAGTTGTTGCTTTAGTGTATTTTAATTTTTAGAAGCTGTAATTTAAAACCTAATGTGTTGCATTTAGTGATTTTTATTGTCTTCTAAGATCTAAGTAAAATGTGTTAAAAATGAAGCAATAAACAGAAATGCACCATTACAGTATCGGGGGGGCATATCTATGGGTGTACATACTTCAGTTAGCTGTATTTCCCCCTTTACAATGGAGACTAGCAAGCAAGATGGGGAATCGCCTTGAAACAAATCATGGCTTCTTCATCTTCTTTTGTATTCTCATCTATGCAACATCTTATTCAGAAGAGTGGTTGAACAAATGTTTCACTGGTTAACACTATTATACTTGTGTGTCTTTTAGGTCTAATACATGATGCAAATAAAATTACTTTGCAATATTAGAGACTACTAAGGGGAAGCGTATAGTAATAGCACTTCATGCATCTATTGCCACATACACACATACAATCTGTGTGTTTATAAAATGGGAAAATAAGACACCAAAAGAATAAGTAATTTGCAGAGGCATAACTTGACCCTTTATCCAAAAATCCCCATTCTAGAGTCTTTCTTTACTGCACAAGTTACATTGATATATGGAGAATGAACTGGCCAATCTTGCAAATGTTCATCACTTTGCAATAGTGGAGAGTTGATGATCAGTTTCTTTTGCTAGACACGTTGGGACCCATTTAAATATGTAATAATCCCAAAGGTGTGGAGGAGTTCAGGCACCAGTAGGCATAACTAACCACTGAGAGAAGTGAAGAGAGATGCACTTAGTGATATATTTTAAGTGACAATCTGAAAACTTTAACTGCAAAGAAAAAATTGTTGTAAACCTAAGGCAGCTGCATTTACAAATAATGAGACCACATGTAAATACATCATGATTCTTCATATTAGAATTATAGGATACCAAGATAGTGGAAATACAGAGGAGCAAGAATGCAGTCCTGTGATAATCAGCAGTTAGACAGTAAAGCCCATACTCTGGCAGACAAGGCTTTTGACATCTGATCTCACCAGACATTCTCCCTTAATGCAACTTCCAATTCAGTCACAGGAGACTTTATTTTCATTCCCACTTTCACATCTTCACTCATTCTCTTCCCTCTATCTAAAAATACTCTTCAGCTTTTTAATAGCTTGAGAAAGCCTCCCCATGTTCCAAATCCAGTTAAAATGTCTGCTTTGGGAAGTCTTCCCTGACTCCCCTAACTGGACTTTACCTTGAATGGAGCGTTTGACTCACTGTGCTGGTATGTCATTGTTTCGTGACTAACAGTATCACATCTGCGTTTATATGATGTCCTTCACCTATCTGTGAGCCCTTAAAAGTCAGGGCATTTAGCCCTTCATGTGGGGCCTATTGACATTTGATATCCAATAGACTCTTAATTCTGTTATCCAATTTTAAAATTAAATCATCCAATTCTCTCTCTCTACTTATGAAAATTGAAGCCCAGAGAAGTAAGGCACTTGTCAATCATCAGGGAACAAGCCAATGTCAGAGCTCAGATAACAAATTATGCCCTCTCTTTCCTAATCCACCCTCATAAAGGAAAAGGACTGGCATGGTAAAGTGTCTGAAGTAACAAACCCACCCTTTTTGGCTATTTGCCTAACTTTTTGCTCAGTCTGACTGCTACACTGTATTGCTGGCAATGTCAGTTTTCCTCAATAACAAAGACTTCCCAGTTCAGAGCATATACATATGTGGCAAATAGGAAAAGTGAGAATAAGTCCAACATGATAAACAGGGAGGGATGTGAAACTCCTATTCAGTCTATGAAAAACCTACTCATAATTCTAACTTTGCTCCCTTAAGTATGGAGAGAAGGCATAGCTCATTTGGAAAATCTGACCCAAAGTCTACATTTCAACACAGTGAAACGCTTTATCCCCTATTGCTTCTACCACACCAGGAACTTTCTATATGTAATTAGTTAATCCCCTGGCCAAAAACTAGTGGACAATGAAATCCCCACAAAATGTTTCCCCCAGTGAAGTGTTCAAATATCAGTTCCACAGAAAACATTTTTAAAAGCTTTCATGTAATTATCCCATGCCAATTTTTTTTTTTTTTTTTTTTTTTTTTTGCTCATGGCTAAAAATGTCCGTATTTGAATATTCATCATTATGAGCATCTGGTAAAATATAGCCCTGTCCAGCAATTTACATCATTTGACTATGGGACCTTAGAAAGAAATAGGTAAAAATTTCCAGTTTTATTTTGATTGGATTTTTAACCATCTTTTGTTCATTTAATGGCTTTGGATTGCTTTGATTGTGCTGATATTTTCTGCTATCCGTTACTACTGGACTTTTCTCCAAACGAGCAGGTTGCATTCAGACAAGTGCTTATGAATTTCATGGAAGGGCCAGTACAAAATGAAGCCACAAATCACAATGTTTTTGTGAAGTTTGCCTTAAACTAATAGCAAAGGTCATGTGATGATGGCTACATAATAATGTGAATGCCACTAACTATACAGCCAGATAGTCAAAATGGTAAATTTGATCTTATATATATTTTAACACACAATAAAGGCCAAATGATTGGAGGTAATGATTATCCCAACCCCTGGGTCAAGAAGGGGGGACAAGCACATGATGAATTCTATCACTGAGATAGAGCACACGTTTTTACTTTCTAATTCCAATACACCTTTTAGCAAGGCTCTCACCTTGCAACTTTCCTCCATGAGGTAGACAGAAGAAAAAGGCCAATTGCCAAATGAAATGGAAAGCTTAGTAGACAAAATGGTAAACAACAGATAGACCCATCACCCTTTGCATGCTGATTGGATTCTAATTTCATCCCTTAGTCAACAGCTCCCATTCTTCCAACTCACTCCTCAATCCCTGAATGGTGAACAGGTGTCCAGGCTGGTTGTGCATGTGTTTCAATTCCAGACAGCTGTCAAAGGTAATTCCCTAGAGAACTGCTCTGACAACTTTGAAGTAAGACATTTAAAAAACATACAAGATAATAGATGAGGAACTGGGACTAGGGGCCAATACAGAGATTCCGCAGTAACCAGACTGGTATCTTCCAGTTTCCTAAAATACAGTGTGGTGGGCTCATTTTGGAAAATACTGGTGAACAGAAATAAGAACCAGTGGGAAAAAGTTACAAGGTGATTATTCCACATATGCGGAAGAAACTCTGAATCACCTACAAAGATAAGGCTAGCTATCCCTCCAATTAGCCTTCCCTTTCACTGACTGCCCTGGAGTTAGGACATCAGAGGCAAACTGCCTAAACTCCAGGGTGGTGCTAAGTGGGATGCAGTCCAGTGGGAGTACTTTGCTAGTGGAAGAGGTGCATACAAATCAGCTTGGTCTAAGGAGAAATGGGGGGAGGGAGAGGTGAAGAACTTACCAGGCCACCTCCACAAGTGCTGAAAGAGGCCAGAGAACCAGGGTGCCCCAGAACCGCCCCAGTATAGAAGCAGGCGGTGTCTGGTGGCGCGGGAGGACGCAGGACAGCTGCTGCCCAGGTGGGGCCAGGGCCCAGAATCGGCCACTGTTCTACTGCAAAGCCCCTTGCCAGGAAGCGGCCATCTCTCCTGAGTAGCAGATATAGGTCCCTGGAGAAGGCCGGGATCCGCAGCAATACTTCATCGCCATCATGCTGGGCTTGCTGAGCTGGAGGCGGGGATGGGGGCGGCTGTGGGGACAGCAGTGGCTGCCACGAGGCTGCGGCACCCGGAGGCAGGGTGGCAGCCCCATTGGATCCCGGAGGCAATTCTTGCGATTCCAGTTCCTCATCCTCCTCCACCCCGGCAGGTGGTGGGGGCCGGGGCTGGGGTTCAGACTGGCCCTCTGAAGGCTCCTCCAGCGGTGCGGGGGCCACAGAGCGCACCTCTCGAGAGCTGCCAGCAGCCTGGACCCTGCCGCCCGCAACACCACGCACCCAACTCAGGTCCGCGCTGCCCCCGCTGCCGCCTGCAGTTGCTTCCACTGACTCCCGGCGCCAGAGTGCAGGAAACACGACTTCCCACTCCTCGTGTTCGGGGGCGAAATGTAGCCCTGCGGGCGGGGCAGACAGAGAAGTGCTCGGCTTAAAGTGTCCTAGTAAGCACAGGCATTTGCAGGTTCTCACTCCATTAAGGATACAAGATGCTTGCTTTACCGACGGAGACCACCCGTCTAGCCCAGAAACTCTTGTAACCCCTGAAGCCTTGCGATCAGATTACAGACTCTAGCATTTTCAAAATAAAAGTACGATTATTTGGGGTGGAGGAGGCAGACGAAATGGGTCAGCAAATTTTGGTGACAGCACTAAGTTATTGCAAGGAAAACTAGAGCAAAGACTTCAGCACAATAAAATTATTTTCGTAAGTGTATGTCAAAGTAAAACATTATTAATTGGTATAATTCTCAATTTTCCTCCAGGTGCTTTAAACATCCCTTTGCAAATATTACTACTCACATGAGAGGAAAACAAATTATTTCAACACGTTTAAAACGAGGAGGGTAAAAGTCCGCTTGACTTCTAAGCAAGACCGGCTCACCCGCACCAGCACGCTGGTTTTTATTGCTACCCACTGAGCACTGCTACCATGCACAAATTGCACCAACTCTGCCTACCCACGAGTTCTAGGTCTCTGCTGGGGGAGTGAGAAAGCCGAAAGCCACTCAAGAACTTACCTGAAACGATCCCATTCGAAAATACTCCCAGCTGGTAAAAAAGGTAGCAGTAGCAGATGTGAGTCAGAGTCGGGCGCATCTTGCTGCCCTTCCCCATACAATGCTCCCGCGGCCCCCAGCTCCTAGCCCAGCGCGCACCTCCTTGCACGATCCACCCTGGCGCTGCTGCCTCCCGGAGCGCAAGGAGGCCGAGCGGTGAGTTTGCCCAAGCCCTTTGTCTGCTATTGGGGGGGGGGGGTGGTTTGCTGTGTGACTCCTAGAGGCTGCCTGAGCACGGGCGGGGTGTTGTGGGGAGGAGGAGCGGGGGCAGGCAGCGCCCCCGCAAACTCAGGTCCCAGGCGAATTAGGTGATGAGTCTATTTTCTGTGTTCTGGATGTTGTAGGAATTTCCCAGGCCAAGCAGGCTAGATCCGGAGACCCACAAAACAGACCCACCATCAGCTGAGAGCCAGGAGGCACGGGGAGGGCAGTGCTGCCTGAGGACAGGCGGGACTGCTACGCGCGCGGGCTGGAGAGTCCTGGTGTCTGAGCCCAGACTCCCCGACTGCGCAGCAGCCTCAGCAACCTGGTGTGCCAAGCTACTGCGCTCTCCTCCCAAGTGCTAAAGGATTTCACAGGCAGCAATATAGGAGGTAATTGGTGCGGGCGGGGGGTTGGGGGGGTGGAGGGAGACACCATTCAGGAGGTGGGTGTGGAGAAAAGAGATTCAAGCAGATCACAAAGAAAAAGGGGCCACGGGATGCCCGCCAAGTGTGACTTTGTGGGACAAAGGTCCCAGAACACCGCACACATGCTCGCACACCTAGTAGCGATGGGGTGGGGACCCAAACTCCCTCACCTGACTCCCGATTGGCCAGTCTTGGAGAGCGGATTTGCATCTTTACACCGCCCCCTAGATCCCCGGCTGAGGTGTGTGCAGGTAGAAGTGCCGCCCCCTTCCAATCCCACCCTCTAAATCTGCAGCTCCTTTTGTCCAGTTCTTCCCCATCTGCGCAGCACACAAAGCAAAACTTAGCACAGACTTGAGTACAAAGCTGAGGCCCCATTTTCCAAAGAACTTTGGTTTGTCTCCCCATCTTTGTCTCTGGGAGTTTTCAAGCCTGGAAATAATGTAATTCGTCATGGAGTGTGCTTCAAAGGACATTAGACACCCTGACATTTCTCAGTCCCTATCCCACCTTATTCTTCCAGTTTCCACTTCATCAGTACTATCAATTTTCCTAACCGTCCCTCCCCTCTCGCCCCCAACCCTGGCGCGCAGAAACACACACACGCATCTATACATAGCACCATTACTAATGGAGGCAACATTAGGGGGAATGACATTAAATATAGATGCTAAAGATGTCAGACCAGGTGAGATTATTTTGCCTTTGTACTTTTTTGAGTGAGATATTATACATTTACTTATTTTTATATCTATATAAATATAAAATAGCTGCCTTTTGGAGGGAAATACAACCTTACTGCTTTGTTTTAGCTCTTCAAGGTACCTATTATCCTTTCTATATCTCTCCCTTAGTCACATCAGACACAAGGATAATTTAGCTTATCTACCATTTGTGTCTTTTGGCCATGACCAGAGACCTAGAAATGAGAGTTAATGCAAATTAGTTATAAAAAATTCCTGCACTGAAGCTGGTTCCCCACATCCTTTGTTGTTGTACCTTCTGTTTCTGGAGTCAAAGGTGACTACCATGCCTCTTACTGAGGCAGATGATCTTATTTCAAAAGAAAGCCATTGTTTGAATAAGCTGAATCCTAGAATACTTTGAGTAGACCAGAGTTTAAAACAAACATGAAGACACTCTAGGTGTGTTTGTCAAGACTGTTCTATCTCTAAATCTGTCTTGTAAAGTTTCTACAAAGGAGTAACTGAAATGTGGGTTTCCAGACTTTCAAGAAATATATAGGTTACTCAGAAGCCTACACAGTCTTTCTTATGAAACTCAATTATCAGAATGAAAACTAGGCAATAAATTACACGCAGTTTATTTTTAAGAAATTTACCCAGTTCTTAAGGTGGAAGGATAGTATCAATGAGACATTTCCACTAAACCATGTATACTGAATAAAATAATTCTTCTTTAATTTTAACAACAACCAAAAAAGATGTATCATTGTAGAAGGAATGAACATGAAAGTGTATGTTTTTACTGGGATATATTTGTGATTCCTTAAAGCTGGGTCCTATATGATTAAATTAAATACACTCATAAGCAGAGGTTGGATATGCAAATTTCCGCCTCTGCTTTCATCGCCCCCTCCCCCTTCATGTCCCTGCTAATCTCCCATGGTCGAGGTTAATCGTGATTGTTACAGACAGGTTTAATTCTCAGCTAGCTCTATTCTTTTCTCCTATTTGAAATACAGTTATAATTTATTTGTAGAATTACAAAGACTTACAAATCATTTGGGATGTAATGTCTGTGTACATGTTTCTCCTACTGGACCTCTAGTTTTTTTTGAAAGACAGGAATACCTTTTTACATCACCCTGCTTAATTCTATGATTAATCTGATTTACACTGAATCAGTGAGAAATTTCTCAAAAGATTATTTAAGATGCTTTAGTAGATGGTAGAAATTGATTTCTGTATGATATTGTATTCCAATTCAAATTCTCTGATTCAGAATGATAAAGTTAGCTCTGTTGATGATCAGATACTATTAGCATGATTTGGTTTGCAAATAATAGAAGACTGAGAAAAAAATGATCTGGGGAAGTTTTTGTGCCCAATCTAGCAGAGACTTAGATGTGCAAGCAAAAGTAAGTTTGTGTGCACATGTATGTAAAAGAAAGAACTAGCCTGATTGGGAAATGAGTAAATTATATATGGTGTAATAGAAGAGAAAAGGCAGAGCTATGGCATGTGTGTGCATTACCAACCTCAGAAAGAAGAAAAGAGCAGCTGGGAAAAATATGTTTGTTAAGACAGGTCACTACATATGTCACCAGATGGTAGCTAGCATCCACCAAGCACTGCTTATGTAGGGCAGAGGAAAGTGACAAAGCATCAGAATAAGTGAAACCAACTGTTCTTATGCACAAGGTGCTCACATGTTGCATTTTATAACCCATTCTTCTTTATATAAAAAGTTGGCTTTGATGACTTGAGCCCTTCCTCACTCTCTTCATTCACTGGCTCTCAGCCTCTCACAACTGAAAGCTAATCTTAAATGTGTTTTCCCCCCAGAAAACCTTAAATATTGAGAAAATACAAAGAACCCTTTCACAGAGTTGCTTGAGGATACCCACTTCTAGTAGCATTCACATCTAAATCGACATCAAAACATAAGTTTGTTCTGGCCATGACAGAGTAGCAAGAATTAGATTTAACTCTCACGTTAAGCAATTACTAAAAACAGACAAAATGTAAACAACAGTTTTTAGGGATTAGAGAAGCAGCAGCCTAGGATGGTGATAGGTGAGGAGGGAAGAAAATAGGTGATCACTACAATTTTCCCATCTTATTACCTGGAGACAATTTCTAGGCTTCAACACAGAAAAGGGAAATCCAGACAGAGCCATGAAGATTAGCTGACTTGAAGAAACAGAGCAAGTGATTAGAATTTGCAGGATAGAATCCACCAGAGGAGGGAGTGCTTAGAGAATGTAATAACTACCTGTTCTTGCCTAACAAACTCAGCAGCTTCAGACAACAGACAGGTATTATCTCACATGGTTTCTGAGGATCAGAAATCCAGAAATAACTAAGCTAGATATTTCTGGCTCAGGAGCTCTCATATGATAGTTGCCAAACTCTTGGCCAGGGTTATAAGTTCTGAAGACTTAAATATAGGTGGAGATACTGTTTTCAGTGCCATGTGGCAGGAAATTTTCCACATGGACTTCTCCATAAGGCTGCTTAGTCTGTGTCCCTTCAGACTAGGGAAATCAACAAAGAGTGCACTCAGTCATTAAGCTATGGTCTTTTTATAACCTAATCTTGAAAATGACATACCATCACTTCTATCATATCCTATTCATAAGAAGCAAATCATTAAGTCCAGTCCATACTCAAAGGGAGAAGCATCAAATCATTTGTAGACATTCTAACCATCAGTAGGCATAATGTCCTCTGATCATAAGTGATTTGCATTCCCTCCATGTGCAAAAAAATTCATCCCTTCCCAAGGCATTCAATTAGCTCATCCTACTAAAGCATCTCAAAATCCCACTAAACCATATTCAAGTGTGCATGAGAATCCTCTGTGCAGCTTATTAGAGCACCATGAATTTAGTCCCTTTCCTCTATAGACTTGTGAAACTAAAGGAACAATTCGCCTCTTATACTCCCAAAATTTGGTGAAAGGACAGATATAGAGTAACTGATAGACATTTCTATTTAAAAGGGAGGAAACAGGGAGGCACTAAGGAGCAATTCTTAAATCCTACTGGAAAAATGCTTGAATTTCCTTGGTAATGTTTCAGGTCTGGGATTAATTCCCCAAGACTCTGTGCTCCTCCTGTTGGTAACTTATTACTACCCTCTGAGTCGTCCTTTGGTTTTCATGAAAGATAGTTCCCTTTTGCAACAGGAGTTTTCTCGCTTGGCTTCCTGAAGCAGAATTTATGATGCTCAAAGTCAATACAACTTTTTATAGTCTTTGCCCCTTTCTGTCCAGAAATACTTCTGCATATGTATTTCTGTTTTTCAAACATTGCAAGTATATGGTGTATAAATGCCATATCCTCAAATCTTTTTCAAGATAAGCCTCCTCTACCTCGAGTTCTGATGATACTGCTGAGAGACAGTACCCCCTGGACTTGTAAAAGTCCTAATGTTTGACTGAAGAAATCTAGGAGGGATGTACTCAAAACCTTAGGGAGCCTTCACTCAAATAAAAGGCATTTTGAATCATGCCATGTGATCCTTATTAGTTCTCAAAGGATTTTACAGTCACACCTTTGGCTTCTTAATTAGACCAGGCATTCCTAAAACTGCCCAAGGTTTCGTCTTTGTTCTGATGCAATTTGTTCTTAATTTTAGATTACTTTTCAGAAAAAGGATAATTTTTCAGAAAATTTTGTAAGTTTTCCAGTCCTGTCTGCATTGTGTTAATAGTTTCCTTTTAAGTTTATCTCTCCCGTTTCACATTTTCTATAAGCAGAAAGAAATCAGGTGGCACCTTTAAAACTTAGAAACCTCTTAGCTTGATGAACCAGTCCACTGTGCCCATTTTCTACTGCAGGCAACAGAATTGCTAAAATATATGCCACTATATAAAAAAAAAAAAATCATCCCTTTCATTTCCAATTGAACCAATGATAGCATGGCTACAAAAGCATTTTAAAGGTGTTAAACAAATAAATTTGTAGTTAAAATTTTCAGAAAATAAATCTGTCTGTATCCAGATAGTTTCAATGGTTAATTCTAGTGGATACTTATTTTTACAGTAACACCGATCCTGCATAATCTCTTCCAGAAAACAGAAGACCACACTTCCTAACTAATTTTATGAGGGACACAGTGCCCTGATACCAAAACCAGACTAAGTTACTATATAAAAAAGGAAAACACAAAACAATAGGTCTCATGAATATGGACACAAAATTAACTAACATTAGCAAATTGAATCCATCAATATATAAAAGAATAATGTAATATGATCACTGAGATGTATTTAGG